GCATGGACATTAAGACCTGGGGGTGATTTCTCAAACCCTCCTTCCCTCTCCCCACCATAGGGTGAGTCCAAGCTCCCTATGGCAAAAACCTAATAAATAAATAAATAAATAAATGAAGAAGACTGACGATACCAAGAATAGTTACAAGTTGGAGTAACTAAATCTCATATACGTTGCTGATGAGGATGCAATTCTTAAACATATACCTCTCACATGACACAATGTCATTTTGATGTGTTTTATTAAGAGAAAAGAAATGAATACTTGTGTTTCTTTCCAGACTCTATAATTTTTTGTCTTTTTCTAAAGAGAAAAGAAAACACAGCTACTTAGATTTGTATATGAATGTTTATAGCACCTTTATTAAAAACTGATTTAAAACTAGAAAGAATCCTAATGTCATGAATAACAAATTATACTCATACAAAGAAATACTACCTAGAAACAAAACTTAGGCAATTTTTTTTTATACAATACATGACTAAATCTCAAAAGCATTTTGGTAAGTGAAATAGTTTACATACCAAAGACTACTAGTGCATGACTTTAATGGCATTCTGGAAAAGGCAAAGCTACAGGAACACAAATTGGACTGGTAGTCAAGGCCTGAGTATGGGGGAGTGCATTGACCACAAAGGGGCATGAAGGAAATTTTAAGGTCATGGAAATGGCCTATGTCTCAATTATGGTGATGTTTATATGATCATACAGTATATTCACGAAACATTATTGTATTATACATTTTAAATCGATGACTTTTATTGTAAACAAGTCACACTTCAATAAAACTATCCAAAAAAGGGGAAGGAGGGAACATCATGAGAAAGTAGATTAGTCCTAGGAGGGTATTAGAGTTCTTAAAATATTGCCCAAAGTGCTAGATTTTATTTTGAAATCATTAGGGTATTTTAAAGGATTTCTGTCCAGGGCAGTGACTGGGCCTGAATTATATCTCAGAAAAATGCATTTTATAAATGTATGTAACTTGGATTTCTGGAAAACACAAGAGGCATGGAAGGAGCAGATACAGGAGGTGGATGCACTTCCATGGTGGGGGCAGAGCTGTTCTCAGTGCAGCACATGCATCGTCTCACTTTTGTCATCACAGCGCTCTGTGCTCTGGGGCACATCCTTCATCTACAAAGAAGGAAGCTAAGTCCTCAATATTTCACCCAAGAAGGTATATATTAGATAGTGAATAAGCAAATGGAAAAATATTTAGCATCATTAGTCATTAAAGATATGCAAATTAAAACCACAATGAGATTCTAGTACATTGACTGGAATAGCTAAAGTTAAGATTGATGGGTCCCGCAGGTAGCATGGTGGTTAAGGTGGTGAACTCCAACACAATTGAACGCGGTATTAGTCCCAGACCTGGAGGCTTGAGAATCATGCTGAATAGGTTTGTGTGCATGCCCAGGGTCCCAGGAACAGAAGGGATTGCAGCATGGACATTAAGACCTGGGGGTGATTTCTCAAACCCTCCTTCCCTCTCCCCACCATAGGGTGAGTCCAAGCTCCCTATGGCAAAAACCTAATAAATAAATAAATAAATAAATGAAGAAGACTGACGATACCAAGAATAGTTACAAGTTGGAGTAACTAAATCTCATATACGTTGCTGATGAGGATGCAATTCTTAAACATATACCTCTCACATGACACAATGTCATTTTGATGTGTTTTATTAAGAGAAAAGAAATGAATACTTGTGTTTCTTTCCAGACTCTATAATTTTTTGTCTTTTTCTAAAGAGAAAAGAAAACACAGCTACTTAGATTTGTATATGAATGTTTATAGCACCTTTATTAAAAACTGATTTAAAACTAGAAAGAATCCTAATGTCATGAATAACAAATTATACTCATACAAAGAAATACTACCTAGAAACAAAACTTAGGCAATTTTTTTTTATACAATACATGACTAAATCTCAAAAGCATTTTGGTAAGTGAAATAGTTTACATACCAAAGACTACTAGTGCATGACTTTAATGGCATTCTGGAAAAGGCAAAGCTACAGGAACACAAATTGGACTGGTAGTCAAGGCCTGAGTATGGGGGAGTGCATTGACCACAAAGGGGCATGAAGGAAATTTTAAGGTCATGGAAATGGCCTATGTCTCAATTATGGTGATGTTTATATGATCATACAGTATATTCACGAAACATTATTGTATTATACATTTTAAATCGATGACTTTTATTGTAAACAAGTCACACTTCAATAAAACTATCCAAAAAAGGGGAAGGAGGGAACATCATGAGAAAGTAGATTAGTCCTAGGAGGGTATTAGAGTTCTTAAAATATTGCCCAAAGTGCTAGATTTTATTTTGAAATCATTAGGGTATTTTAAAGGATTTCTGTCCAGGGCAGTGACTGGGCCTGAATTATATCTCAGAAAAATGCATTTTATAAATGTATGTAACTTGGATTTCTGGAAAACACAAGAGGCATGGAAGGAGCAGATACAGGAGGTGGATGCACTTCCATGGTGGGGGCAGAGCTGTTCTCAGTGCAGCACATGCATCGTCTCACTTTTGTCATCACAGCGCTCTGTGCTCTGGGGCACATCCTTCATCTACAAAGAAGGAAGCTAAGTCCTCACTTGGCTGGCCCTGACACTTTGAATCTTTCCACTACATAATACTGCTACCAAAATAGGTCCATTCTAAGGCAACTGCATGGACTATCCAAGAAGGGTTGAGGGGGCTGGGACTGAAAAAGATGTACTGCATGGAGTAACTACGGCGTTTGCAACACCATCACCCATGAGTAGTAAGAGGTGATCCTCTGGGTCTTTCTGAGTAACTGGGGAGAATATCAGCAACAATGAAATACTGAGGGATTGTGCCTGTATGGGTAGAGATATCCATCACCTGTAAGTAGGGCCTGTAGCTGAGGAAGGAGTCTAAAGTGGAGACAGGATTTAAATATAATTTTTTTGAGATTGTTAAATTGAATCATTCTATCTCAATTATTTGACTACTTTTCAAGCAGTGACCAGAGTATCTTTTCTTCAGTTACCCACACATTTCTATTGACCCCTTCTCTTCTGATCTTGCAAAATGTGGTTTAGATCACTATTTGTTTTTAAAGTGGGACTAATTTTCCAAAGTGATGTTATCTCTGAGTCAGTGCTCACTCTTGAGGAGACAGTAGTAGGACCTTCAATTGCTGATGTTTGAGAAAGCACCAAGTGAATGCAGATTTAGATTATGCTGAGCAGGATGTCAACCAAAGACACTTAACAGCCAAATGATGCCATTATCAGTTCAGCAACAACCCTCAGAGGGCTCCTACACATCCTCCCAACATTTTTCTATCACTATTTGGGAACTTTAGAATTTTCCTAGGATATTTTCTCAAATCTAAACCACTCTCTGGACAAAGCAAATAAAAAGACATTTGCATACATTTTTTTTTTTCTGCTAGAAGTGGTCTTGCCACTGTGGAGATGGATTGGCGAGAAAGACAGATGCCCTTCAGTGGGGCAGCTGGTGCTTCAATCTACTGATTTGCCCATCTGTTATCTTTCGTTTTCAATCGTGCCACAAGATGCATGAGTTGGAAGGTGCGGTCAGTAGAACAATGTCTCCCAAAGACATCTACATCGTAATCCCAAGAATTTATGGACATGTTACCTTACACGGTGAAATAAATTTGAATATGTAATTTGAGATGGACAAATTATCCTAGATTATCATGGTGGGTCCAGTGAAATCCCTATAATCTGGATGGGGGAGGTCATAGTCAGGTGAGTGCATGTGCCCTCCTTCAAATTAAAAAAGAAAAAAAGAGAGAGAGAAAGGGAAAGAAAGGGGCAGCTATCATCTTCATATTACAGAGAGGAAGCCAAAGTACAAAGTACAGAGGGCTTGCTAGTGTGTGCTAGCTGGTGGGAACAGGTTCTTACTTCAAACTCCTTTTCTATTTTACAACATTCACTGTTCAGTTTACTAAGATGATTTCAAGCTTTCTTATCTTTTTTTCATTCCATGCAAGAGTCCTCATATGCATAGAATTTCTTCTTCCAGACACAAACTCATATTTTAATATTAAGAGATAATAATGAGACCAGTAGATGGTGTATTGGTTATGTTGCTGGACTCCCACACAGTCTACTGTGGTTCAAGTCTCGGACTTGGCAGCTTAAAACTTGCGCTGGGTGCATATGTCTGTGTGCCCAAGATTCTGAAAAGAGGATGGAGGGAAAGGTATTGCAGCATGGCTATCTCCCCTGGGGGAGGGGTGATTTCTTTCCTTCTGTCTCTCTTTGTCTCTATGGTGAGTTGCATGCACCCTACAGCAAAAATCTCTCTAAAAAATATAGAGAGAGATAATAATAGATGACTATGCTGACTTTCAGGTATGTATTTTAACCTTAAGATATAGCACAGAAATGATGTTTATAGGCCAAAGGAATAGCTTTATATCCTAAGGCAAGATGATAAGAGATAAAGTTTTGACAAGGCTAATAAATTCTGCCAGAACTATTTCTTACTACTCCAGTCTACAAAATGGTGTCTTTATTCTTTTTTTGTCAATCCTTTATAGTAGATATTGACTCTGGTGACTGGTTAGTTCTGCTTTCAGAAAAGGTTAGTTTAACTTATAATGATAGATTCTCTCTCTCTCTCTCTCTCTTTCTCTCTCTCTGTATTAGCCCAGTTGCTTTTTAAATTAAATTTAATTTTATAATTTCTTATTTACATTTGATGGTACATACAGCCAAGTATTTTTGACAAAGGGCACAAAATAATCTAATGGAGAAAAGAAAGTCTTTTCAGCACATGGTGCTGGAAAAAACAGATATCCACCTGCAGAAATATGAAACTATAGCCCTATCTCTCACCATTAACAAAAGTCAACTAGAAATATAACAAAGATCTAAATGTAAAGCTTCAAAAGGTAAAACTCTTGGAAAAGCACAGGGAAAACATTTGAAGACATTGGAGTGGGCAAAGATAGATTCTTTGCCATTGTTTTTAGCAAATCCAACATAACTTCAATCTCGCTTTTTAGTTTAATAAAATATTCTTGGACTTTGCTTTCAAATTCTGTCTGGAGAGCATCAACTCTGACTTAATTTATGCCATATGGATCCCTGACTTCCTTCTCTAGGACTGTGGGAACTATCTTCTTGGTGGAACTGAGGGGATAGTAGGAGGCAGGAAAACTTGTAGGTTGCATTCAAAGAGGCAGGTTGTCTTTCAGGATGTGTCTTTCTTACTCATGAACGGGGAATGACACAGAGTTTGTAGTGTCGTGGGATGCTACCAAACCCAATTGTAAGAGGGCTAAGGTCAATATCTTTTGGGTCAACAAGAGACTTCAAATTAAAATGCTGCAAAATGGCTGACAAGAATAGAAACAATTCCATGCGAGCCAGGCCTTCTCCAACACACACCCGTTTTCCTAGAAGTAATAAAAGTATTGATGAGATACTGAGGCAGTTTCATAGAGACAGCACCATTAAAAATGAGACAGCAGAGGGAGAGTGGGGTGCGAGGAGGCTATGGGTAAACTATCATGAAGCAGGATTTACCCCTCTCTGCCAGCTGAAAGAAGCATATATATTTCAGTATAAGAAAATCAATGAAATTGACCTATTCAGAGATCAGTCTTTACATAACCTCAATCATCCAGAACTCAAGTGCAAAAACGTTTGTTAAATTGGTAAACTGGTCTCTGCCCAGTTAAGAAAGCACTGGGAACCAGCAGGTAGCGTAATGGCTATGTCGCTGGACTCCCACGTAGTCGACCGCGGTTCATGTCCCGGACCCGGTGACTTAAAACTCACACCATGCGCGTGTGCGTGCGTGCCCAGGATCCCGAGAGGAGAATGGAGGAGAAGGGATTGTGGCGTGGCCATCCCCCCTGGGGGGCGATTTCTCACTTTCTGTCTCTCTATCTCTCTCTATCTGTCTGGCGAGCGCACACACCCTATAGCGAAAAACTTCTCAAAAAAAAAAAAAAAGAAAAAAAGAAAAGAAAAAAAAGAAAGCACTATCCAAGGTTTATCCATGGAACCCTGCAGGAAAGAAATGGGGACAGCTAGAAGTTAATGTTCCATGTTGGGTGTTTAAGTTACTAAGTTGATTCTTCTCTTGCCCCAATACCTGAGGTGTGGCCCTGGGCAGGTAGTCAAGGAACTTAAAAAGGGTCACTGAATCACATCTTGGAGAAGACTTTGTTGATGACGTATGACACGTACAGGTAACCAAAGGCTAGATTTTGTTTAATAATCTTTGTTTACAATTATGAATAATTAGGTAATACATTTTCAAGAGAGTTTCACTAAATCCTATAGAATCGATTAAATTTTCCATCCTATAGAAAAAATATTCTACCCACAATATCTTATCCTTAGGACTTCTCTGAGTAGGGAAGAACACATTTAAGCCATGTCAATATAAACAAGGAACATGAAAAAGCTCAGAGAGTTGAAGCCTGTCTGGGATGATGGCAAAGTATACATGAAGTAGAAATGATGAAATTAAGAGACAACGTCCCAGAGGAAGGTGCTGCCTCTGAACTTACCTGTGGAAAATGCCTTAAAATGGTCACTGTATTTGAATTTCCCATTTTCATTCAAGAAGTGCTCTGGTTTAAACTTTTCTGGATCAGGAAATTCTTGTTTGTCATACAAAAGGGAGTCCAGAGTTGGAATTACAACTGTGCCCTAGGAGAAATAAAGACTGTCTCAGTCAAGTTACCAAAACATGAGTTTTCATCTGGCAGGCCTCAGTAAAGAAAGTTGTTTTGAACTTTACATTATACAGAATACTATATTTCCAGTTGTTTGGTTAAGAACTAGATGGAAAGCAGTTAGGAGTCAGGTTTAAATGAAGATGAAACACTCATCTTTTCACAGGATTAACTCCACGTCTAGTTGTTGTCTGTTACTGTTGTAATATACTACAAATCTCTACAAATAGAACTACCATATGATCCAGCAATTCCACTCCTTGGTATCTACCCAAAGGACAAAAGAATTCTTCATCAGAAAAGTGCTTGCACATCAATGTTTATTGCAGCACTATTCACAATTGCTAAGACATGGAACCAACCCAAATGCCTCTGAACAGATGAATGGATTGAAAAACTATGGCGCATATATTCTATGGAATACTATTAAGCCATAAAAAACAAAACTGTGGCTTTTGACAAAAAGTGGAATATGGAAGATTTACTGCTGAGTGAAGCAAACCAGGCTATGAAGGAGAGAAACTATGTCCCCACTTAATATATATTGAATGTCCGCACTCTATGACTGAAACTGATTGACTGAAGGCTATACAAACACAGTAAATGGGTGTAAATACCAGAGATAGTGTGTGTGGAAGAGTAGGGCCTGAGGAAGGACATTTAGAAGAAAAATATGAAGGCAAAGCATTAATGGGACAAAGAAATGTGGTATTATCTGTTGAAGATATTTTATAGTTTTATCAACTGGACTAAGGAGAAATGTTTCCATATTGAAATATTCACTTTGTAAGCTAGATAATGTGATCGAATGTATAAAAGAAAATGAAATAAATAAATAAAAACAATACCAAACTGAATCTACCAATGTAAAAACAAAAAAATACATATTTTATTTTAAAAAATGGAAAATTTAAAAAATATATACTACAAATCTCAAGCACTATCTAAGGAAGTACTTTTACTGATTTCTTCCATTTATTTGGTTGTCAGATGCAAGTGTTGGTGAAACAAACAGCACTTTGCAGAGTGGGAATGCTGGCCGCCTCACTCCAGCCACATCTGCCAAAGAGAAATGTTCTTGGATCCCCCAGTCCTATTCCCTGGCAGTCTAAATGTGATGGTGCTCAGTGTTGTTATATTTTGATCAACTGGACCGGGGAGAAATGTTCACATATTGAAATGTTCACCTTGTAAGCTAAATAATGTGATTGAATGTATAAAAATATGTAGATAAATAAATAGATAACATTAAAAAAAATGTGATGGTGCTCATGGTGTGTACACTCCAGCTCATGCCTGACCTTGGGGATAAGGTATCCTCTAAACATGGTGTCCCGGGTTGCTTCATGAGGCAGGTTGGAGGGCACAAGGTTGATGAATCGCTGAATCTCATGCACCACCGCATCCATGTAGGGCATCTCTAGCCTGTCCTTGACGGCAGGGATTCGGCTTGGCCCAATCACTCTGTCAATTTCCTCATGAAGTTTTTCTGCCAAGATATAAATGGGATAAATTTAAAAGATTGACTCCAGGAGGGTTAGGTATCCACCCAATCATTTACTTATCTATCCAATCATCCTTCGTGAAATTTAGTGATTCACCCAAAGATCTCACTTTGTCACCTACAAGAGATAAAAAGCAGCAGCACACAACTGGAGCCTAAAATTTTCAAGACCAGCCTGGGAGGCTCATTCTGCTCATCACTTGCATACCTTCAATCTCTGGGTATTTCATGAGAATCAGTAGCCCATATCTCAGAGTGGTGCTAGTGGTCTCAGTCCCTGCAAAGAACAAGTCGGCCACGGTCACAGCGATGTTGTCCAATGTGTACAAGGGTTCTGAACTGTGCTTTTCCTGTGATGTTAGAGATAGACAGGGGCTTGATAAGAGGATGTCTTCTGGTGGACACAAGGAAGATGCTTTTTTCCTTTCAGTAAAAGGGATAACCTGGTCAGCTTCACAGGGAGAAAGGAGCTAAGGATAAGAGGGGCTTTCCCAGTGGAAACAGGACTTGAAGCTATGAGAGACATGGTCATTTCCACCTCCCAGCCAGGGAAACTGAAGCTCCCATGAAATGAGCTGAGGGCAAGACTTGGCTCTTTATCCAGGCTATGGAGGTTTGTCTTCCTCAAAAGCATGAGTGCTGTCCCAGGGGAGGTGAGATATCCCCTGGCATCAGTCCCAGTTCATGGCTGAGTTGTGGAGCCCCTGCTAACATTCCTCAAGCTGCAGGGGCTCTTGTTTGCCTCTTTCCACCCCCAAGGCCAGAACCTCTGAGCCCCAGGGGAATGGAGGGGGCTCTCAGGGGTCAAACTGATGGTGAACATTCTCCAACAACTCAGGAAGTTTATCAGAAGTAAGTGTGGAATTCACATATTGTTCTCAAGCACAAGCAACACAAAAAGAAAAGACAGGGGTATAAGAAACATCACCAATCTGGACCAAGGACAGGGTGCCCTGCGGGACTATAGCTAGATGAAGCAGGGAAGGTCTGGAACCCCTGGAAGCTATGCACAATTGTGCCAAAAAAGAATGACCAGGCCAGTGCAGTGGACAGACAGGCTGACTGTGCCTCCACATTTGGGGTATTATGAGCAGTGTGCAGTAGTAATGCTGAATCCAAGTGCATTAATGCAACATTAAAACCATTAAAATTTAAGTGAGGGCTAGATGGTGCTGCAGCAGGGAAATGTGACACTGCAAGGCCCACCCACATGGGAGGGTTCTAGGTTCACATCTGGAGACCTCCTCACCCATGACCCAGGTCTAGCTGAGGCTGGGAATGGATCACAGCATCAAGACCCTCTTGGGGATACATACAGTAGGCTCTTTCACACATGAAGGAGATAAAAGGAGATAAATAATCTTTAAAAAAGTGTTTGTTTGTTTTTTGAGAGAGATTTTTGCTATAGGGTGTATGCACTTGCCAGAGAGATAGAGAGAGGCACAGCCACAGAAAACAAGAAATCATCCCCAGGGGGGATAGCCACACCACAATCCCTTCTCATTCTCCTCTCAGGAATTTGGGCACGTATGTACATGTGCCTGGTGTATTTTAAGTCGCCAGGTCCGGGACTCAAACCGCGCTTGACAATGTAGGAGTCCAGCAGCATAACAATTAAGCCACTTGTTGGTTCCAAAAATAGTTTTTAAAAATGTACCTATTGGCAGCTTGGACACCAGCAAGTATAAGTTATAATATAAATCTGAAAAATGGATGCCCCTTATTCTATTCTAGTGATCCTGTTTCCTATGTGAGTTGCAGGTACCTTCTCCATTTCCATGAGTAGGCAGTCGGTGAAGTCTTGGGGACAGTTGGGGTCCAGTGACTGATAGTGCTCCTTCACTCTTTCATATACATAATCTTTTATTTCATACACATTTTTAATTACTTTTCTATGTCTTCCAGGCAGGTACTGAATATAACCTGAAAAATAGTTGTAAAGCTACAGAGAGAGAGAGAGAAAATGATCTTATTATGTATTTTTTCCAGATTCAGCATAATTTTGTGTGGTAGGCTAATAACGTTCTTCAAACTTGAATTTATGGCTGGAATTATCGTATTATTTATATATTTGGGGTCAGTGCTGCTTTTTGTGGGCAGCCTTCTCCTAGGTGGTGTTCATTCTGTAGTGAAAATGTAAACACAGATTGATACATATCCTGAGGTTAAGAAAGGGGTACACAGGTTCCCACAGATGTCTCTCAGACTGTTTGTACTATGTAGGCAAGCCCTCTCTGCCCCCCTACCCTCTCACAAATTCTCCTGTTTTCTACCTTTTGTAGGCCTGTTTGTCCCATACAACCTAAATTTTTCCTTCCTTCCCCCCCCCCCCAAGGGTGAAAGACAGAAGGCAGTCGGTGAAGTCTTGGGGACAGTTGGGGTCCAGTGACTGATAGTGCTCCTTCACTCTTTCATATACATAATCTTTTATTTCATACACATTTTTAATTACTTTTCTATGTCTTCCAGGCAGGTACTGAATATAACCTGAAAAATAGTTGTAAAGCTACAGAGAGAGAGAGAGAAAATGATCTTATTATGTATTTTTTCCAGATTCAGCATAATTTTGTGTGGTAGGCTAATAACGTTCTTCAAACTTGAATTTATGGCTGGAATTATCGTATTATTTATATATTTGGGGTCAGTGCTGCTTTTTGTGGGCAGCCTTCTCCTAGGTGGTGTTCATTCTGTAGTGAAAATGTAAACACAGATTGATACATATCCTGAGGTTAAGAAAGGGGTACACAGGTTCCCACAGATGTCTCTCAGACTGTTTGTACTATGTAGGCAAGCCCTCTCTGCCCCCCTACCCTCTCACAAATTCTCCTGTTTTCTACCTTTTGTAGGCCTGTTTGTCCCATACAACCTAAATTTTTCCTTCCTTCCCCCCCCCCCAAGGGGGAAAGACAGAAAGTGGAGCTTAAGAGAGGGGGAAAGAAGAACACAGCTCCCAAGTAAAGAGCAGGTCCTGGTAAAATGAATTGCCCTTCTTCTTCTGTTTCTAATGTAAACTATACAGTTGAAGATTAATGAAAAAGGAGGAAAACTGCTTCACCTGGAGCCAGGGAGTACTTAGCAGGTAGAAGTTCTCATTAAACAAACTCATCAGTCTCAGAAATGTCTTGTCGTTGTAGTCAAAATGCTTGTGGAAGAGGATGTCAGAAATGACATTGCAGGGTGCACAGCCAATGAGATAGGTGGGATCGAAGGGCTGGCCTGGAAAACAGGTGATGTATCAGAGCAATGCATATGTGGGTATGAGGAGAAGCTGGGGAACACTTTCACCATGGCCTTTCATGCACCAACTCAGTCTTCTGCCAAGTAGTTACTGTCTGTGAGGAGACAGCTAAAACTGATCATTCACAAAAAATAGTGACTATTTGGACCTAGTCAGGTTTTCTTTACTTTCAATGTTACTTAGCATACAACAATCATGCACTCAATGGTCACTCTCACTCCTCCTTTAACATAGAGCTAGAAACTCAAGTTGTGAAGAGTAGTGTCTGCAAACAAACATGACTCTTTCCTTGTCTTTGAGTCCCTTTAGCTGCCTACTGCTTCCAGGTTGTTCAGATGCCATCTGGGGGTCCCAGGCATAGCTTCCCCATCCCCATGGTTGTCTGCATGAGGACTGGGTCCTGCCGGGGGTATCAGATACTCACCCTGGGTCTTCCTGAGCTCCTCCAGCAGAACGTGGGCCTCCTTTTGGATCCGCAGCTCATTGCCCTGTTTCCCCATCCCATAGTCCCGGAGGACAGTCAAGGAAAACCGCCGGGTGTCCTTCCAGGTGGGACCATTATTGAAAATAACTCCTAAAGAGGAAGAGGGACCAAATGCCCAGTTCTTAGAGAAACACACTTTGAGTGGGAAGTGGCCATTGACAGGACCCCAGTGTGCTGGACAGGGTGTGCAGAAGTGGTGGAACCTCAGGGGATGAGAAGGGATATGCCACCATACTTGTGCTTTGTACCATGCTTCACCATCACACTTAGCTTCTCCTTGAATGTTCTTCATACTACCAATCTATATCCTTTCTTTTTCCTTTCCCTGAGTATTTCCCATGCTAAATAAAATCACTCTTAGAAAAATCTCCCACCTCTTTTCTATTGACAAAATGCTTGAAAAGACAGTCTGTTCTCAAGGATTTTTAACCCTCATGCTATAAACACAGCATGACTTCACAATAAATGTCTTTACTAAAATTTAAGAGGTCACATGGCTCTCCAGCAGGGACAACTGGATTTGGGAAAACTGAACATTTTTCCTTTTTATTCCCAGGTCCCCATAGACACACAGAAGATGAGGACTGAAGTCAGGAAGCAGGAGGATGGGAAAACACCCAGATGAATACCATTCAGACTCCCAGACACAAACCACACTTTTACTCTGGAGATAACAGATGTGTTTTCTGGATACACTGAACTCAGGGCTCTGGAGACAGGAGGTGTGGAGGAGCGACAGCAGAGGTAAGGCCAGAAGAAGGGATTTTATGGTAGTCTCATTCCCTCCTTCTAGGTCTTTGAACATCAACCCCCAAGTGGGACACAGGAGGCTCCCTCTCTGGAGATCAACAGCTGCAGCTGAGCAGAGCCCCGAAGCCCTGCCTGTAAGCACAGTGTAGTGTCCAGCGGCTTTTCATGCCTTATCATAGAAGACGGCACCTCTGTGGATGGAGCTACCTACATACCAGAGGCAGCTGAAGCTGGGAGTAGAAAGAATTCCCAAGAAGCGCAGGAGACTGAGGGCTCTGGAAGGTGGAAGTTGGGAGGTGGAAGATGGAAGGTCTAGGTGGAAGTGCAGCTCATGCTCAGATCCTGAGTCTATTTCTTTAAAAAGGACTGCACCTCTGGTCAGAGCATGGGCGCCTTGAGGACTTACTCATTTTTGGTACAGAGTGCCCACTCAGGAGTCTCACATACAGCTTTCATTAGGACTGGTAATGAGCAATGCATGCCTGCACAAACCGTTACCCCAATTGTCTGAACACCCCTTACCTTTCTGTAACCATTCTGTTGATGTTATTATTGTTAGTTTAGTGTTTGGCCAGCAACAACATGGCTTGTTCCAGTCATTGTCTTGGAGGGTGTTGTGCCTCCACATCCCAGGAAGTGGACTTACCTTTGTCCTTGTGTGCCTGGAATGCAGGGATTTCGCCTCGCCCAGAGAACTCATTCTTGTAGTCCAGCAACACTTCCCTAACAGCCTTGTAGCCATGCACCACCACAATGCGCCGTGAGCCCAAGTACAGTGTGAACACTGGTCCAAAGCGCTCTGCCAGCTGCAAATACCAGAAGGCACAGTGAGGCCCCAGATGTAAGGATGGTGGTGCTTTAAACCACCTGCCCACAAACCCTCCAAGTTGTTGCTATTGTTGACCCAAAAAACCCAGAGGGATTTGGGGAATAGCTGTCTTTATTGTACCAGGGGAAAGACTGCATCTGCAAGGCATGTACTGTCATGTCTGTGCCCCTGCTTATGCCGCTAGGACTCCACTACTCACCTGCCTGGATCCTGCAAGGCTGCTTTGCTAACACCTGCTTCTATAACCCCACTGTCTGTTTTCCCCATTGTCTTTCAAGGTCCTGGACCCAGGGCACTTGCAGACTGACCTGCTCCTACTCCTGCCACCAGTGCATTCCCTGAGATGCATGAGGTACGGTGGTTCCCACCGCCTACTGCAAACACCAAGTGCTGTTCTATGCCCTGCATCATTCTTATTAACTCAATTAATTTTTAGATTTGTTAGCTTATACAATGTTCACAATAGTTGTAGGAAACCATTATTGTTATTGTTCTGGTATCGCATAGGAGGCTGATTCAACACTTTACTTTTCAACTTTTTTTTTTTTTTTTTGCCACCATACAAGTTGACATTCAGCTGGTGTGCTCTTGGTTATGAATGCATCATCATTGCTGCCTGTTAAGCTGGGGCATAGTGATGTCCCTGGCCACACTGGCCTCCACACAATCAAGCCAATGACCAGGCTCAAGCAGGGATCTACCATAGCCTATATCTGAGTACTCCTTGCCCAAGCTGTACCACTAGCTAAATATTTTGAATATCACTCTTGGGTGCTATTATTAATTCAGTTGATTCATAACAGGCTGGTACTGAATAACAACAGTGTGTGTGACAGTAAGTTAAATGCACACATATTAGATGTAAATCTTGAATTATTTTCTCTAAGATCAATGACATTTCCCTTACCCTGGTAAAAGACTTGGGAACATTCTTCACGTCTAACTGGAGAAGATTCCCAATGATGGGCAGTGGGAAAGGTCCAGGGGGCAGGTTCCAGCTGCTGTGGATATGCTTCCAGATGGAGATGAGCAGGAGGGTGACCATCCATCCCAGCAGGATGATAGTAATGCCAAGAGCTGCCATGGTGCCTCTGGGGTCCTGCCGATTAGTTGGGACTATTATGTGGAAAGGCAGTGTTTTTCTAATGTATCATTGAGAAGGAGGGTGACCAACCAACCAATGCCACTTTCCTCTTCCCTGTGCCCAAGTCACTAGTTTATTATTAACTGCTATTGGCCATTACTTCAAAGGTTGATTCTTGCACCCATTGCCTCTTGGAATTCTATCCAGTGACCAGAGGATGACGAAGCTGGGCTCTGTCAACACTGGTTGCTGGAACCTGTCACCTGTGCCAGTCAACATGCCCAGGGACACCACAAACCCATAGGTCAGAAGTGGGTGGGAGACTGTTCTACCCTTTGACAATGGTTGGATGAGGGTGCATTAAGGTCTTTTTCAATTGAGTTTGTTTGGGATAGGATTTTTGTGAAGCAACACCAACCTTATGCTGACCTCTTCCAGGCAGGGTGCTGTCTCTTGTGGTGCAAGAACCTCTCTCTCTCTTTCTCTTTTTCTTCTCATTTGCTATAGGGCATGTGTGATTGCTAGAGAGAGACAGAGAAAGAGAGAAAGTGAGAAAGCACGCCACCCTGCCCCACCCCCGCCCGCCCCCAGAGAGGAAAGTCATGCCACAGTCCCTTTTCCATTTTCTCTCTGGATTTTGGGCATGTGCACACACATGCTCGGCATGTTTTTCAAGCAGCCACATCCAAGACTCCAAGCATACAGTCCACCATGTGGGATCCAGCTGCCTTAACCAGCATGCTAACCGCTGGCCTACAAGAGCCTCTTAACGTCTGACCAGGAGGTTTGTCTGAGCAGTCCCCTATGGTACCTTAATTACCATTTGCCAAATTAATAGGGTTAGAAAGAAAATCCATCATCTGAGTTACATTCCATTTTGTTAAACCAACTGGAAAGAAAATAAAAGAAAGAAAAAGAATTGACCAATTTTGCAAAAGTTATTGATTAAAAAAAGGCATATTTAAAAGAAATTATTTTTTAGAATCGATCCATTAAGTTATTAAAAATTACATTTGAATTTTTATCAGATTAATATTTAAACTTAGTTAAATTTGGAAGACTTTCTATTTTTAATATATTTTATCTGTTTATCTATGAACTTAGCAGTGATCCACATTTATTTGTGTTTTTTTTCTGTGTATTATTTGCTTTATATGGTTTGCTTTCACTGTTAGGGTTGTCTACAGGTGTTTTGTGGAGGGGTTTTTGATTGTTTTTCTGTTTGCTTTTGGTGTGATTAAAATGAAGAGAATGACCTTTATTCTGTCTTCTAAGTGGTATTATATTGAGGAACTTAATGAAAAAATGAGACTTCCAGACTTACTCCACAGAGGTAGCGTCCATATTTTAAGCCCACTGAAGAAATAAATGCTGTAAATTCTCTTTATTTTATCTTATTCTTTAATTGCCTGAGAGCATGTTTTTTTTTTTTAAATTATTTCTCATTATTATTATTTTCCAAAAGACTCTTGTGCTCTCAAGAGAGACGGGAAAAGAGGGAGAGGGAGAAAGAGTACTTTCCATGGATTGTGCCCATGCCACAATTTGTTCTACTCCATTTCTCCATCCTGTTGGGATTTTGGTCCAGGACTTGAACTAGCTATATGGTCAGTCATAGTTGTGGGATCTGGCTCCCTTAACCACTAGACCATGGGGCCAGCCTTCTAATTTCTATTTTATACACACTCAGATATTTCTTTTGTACTTAGTGTCCTTTTATTTCAACCTTAAGGAGTCCATTTAGTATTTCTTATAGGATAGCTCTGCTAATACTGAATCAGTTTTGTGTATCTGAAAATGTCTTAATTTTTTTTCTTCTTCTTTTTTTTTATTTCTTTTTTCCCCCTGGATATAGAATTTTTAGTTGGTTATATATTTCTTTCAGTACTGTAGATATATCATTCTATTGCCTTTGGCCTGTATGGCTCACTGATTAGCTTACCAATCAGTTGCATATGCATAGTGAACAGTTAATTTTCTATGCATTCTTCCAAACTTTTGTAAAAACTTATATAAACACATACACTTTTTGTTCTATTCAGATAATTGGGTCATAATAATTACCAATTTACTTTATTCACTTAGCAATATTTATACCATAGATGTATTTTTAAATTAATTTTTATTAATACATGCTAATCAGTGGGGGTATAAGAATATAACATGTAAGAATTAAATCAGGGTAATTAGTATACCCATGATCTCAACCATTTGTCATTTCTTTGTGTTGGGAACATTTAAAATTCTCTTTTTTAGGTACTTGGATATATTCAATTAGTTGTTGTTAACTACTTACTCCTGTATGTTTTCTAGCACTAGACATGGTTTCTGTTATCTGTCTGTAATTTTGTTCCCATTAATAAACATCCCTCTATTCCTCTTATCCCCATCTTTCACAGGCTGTAGTAGTCATTCTTCATCTCTACTTGTACAAGTACATTTTTTAAAATTTCAACATATGAGGGATAGTATGTGGTATTTCTCTTTCTGTGCCTTTTTTTCCCATTTAACATAGTTTTAGCTCACCCATTTAACCTCAAATTACAGATCTATTTATTCAACAGAGAACTTCACGTTTTACTTTTTTTTAAAAAAAAAAAGATTTATTTTTATAGGGCATGTGTGCTTGGTGGAGAGACAGAAAGTGAGAAATCACCCCTTGACCTAGGGGCAATGGACACACTGTAATCCCTTATTCATTCTCCTCTTGGGTTTTTGGGCACACATGCACATATGCCCAGTGTGAGTTTTAAGCCTCCAGTTCTGGGACTCGAACCACAGTCAATCACATGGGAGTCCAGCAATGCAACCAATATGCCATCCACTGGTCCTAACATCTACATTCTTTTGTCTATTAAATGTTTCTTTGCCTCTACCATCCACTCCCCTCCCTTATAGGTCTTAAGTGTTTACACTTGCCCTCTCTATTATACCTTTGGATCTTTCAATTTCCTGGACTCTTGTTTGATTTCCTATATAGAAATTCAATTTTTTACATAGTTAAAATTTTCTCAATTTTCCTTTATGAACTTCGGAATTTATATCATACTTTAAAAGATCTTTCACATTTTGAGTGTTCCAAGAAATGTTTTTTGTTTGTTACTTTTAGTTTTGCTATAGGGCATGTGCACTTGCTAGAGAAAGAGAGGAAAGTCACCCCCAGGGTTGATAGCTAGACTGCAATCCCTTCTCCTTCATTCTTCTGTTGGGACTTTGAGTACACACTGCATGATTTTTGTGTGTGTGTATTTGTTAATTACTTTTTAACCTTGTAATTTAAGATTTGTTTCTAGGCTCAGCCTCTGCAGCACAGTTGGCGGTGTGCTAGACAATGGAATAGAAGGTCACGTGTGGACAACGGTTTGGGTTCTCAGCCCTGCCTTTTGCTGGACTGATCATGTTTTGTTTGTTCCCTTTCTTCCTAGACACTTTGGATTCTCAGTGTCCTATTGCTGTTCTATTGGTGTTTTTGTTATTTTTAATATTTGTAAAACTTTTAAGATATGATTTTTATTGGATATGTATGAGTCATCTTTACATTGTTATAAACACTTCACAAACACAAAATTAGTTTTTGTTTTAAAAAAAGAGAAACATTTCATGGATTTATTCTCATACAGTTGAATGAAAGAAAATATGAGAGTGGGACCAGCAGATGGCATAATGGTTATGTCACTGGACTCCCACGTAGTCAGGACTAGGTGGCTTAAAACTCATGCTGGGCTTGTGTATGTGCATGCCCCAGATCCCAAGAGACAAATGGAGGAGAAGGGATTGTGGAGTGCTATCCCCCCAGGGGGCGATTTCTTGCTTTCTGTCTTCCCATTTCTCTGGCAAGGGCATGCTCCCTATTGCAAAAATCTCAAAAAAAGAAAGAAAAAAAAATATGAGAGGAGAGAATCAAGAGGAGAAAGAAAGAAACAAAACATTTAAGGGACACAAAAAGGGAAAATGATCTGTTGACGATAATATGTGTGGTAATGTCTTTGACTGAACCAGTATACAGTGTATTCACAATGGGTAAACTCATTTGGTATACTGTAATGATACAGTGATGGAATGTAAAAGAAAGAAAAAGCGAGAAAAGAAGAAAGAGCAAAAGAAAGAAGAGAAAGAAAGAGAAAGAAAGAAGAAAGAAAGAAAGAAATATATATAAACACGAAGGTCATTCTTCAAATATTAGAACAGAATACTGATGGAATCACTTCAATAACGTTTTTCATAAACATTTGAATGATTACCCATATATTCTATCAACTTCTAAAGGATCAAATAAACATGCAAGAGAAAGGTAATCATACAAATATCCCCCAAATTAGGTATCTTATCCCCAATAAGATATATTTCCAAAAAACAATAAAACTGTATATATTCTAAATGTGTTAACCTTCAATCTGAATGTGCATTTTAACTTAGACTTCTTGATTAACTTTAAGAATTGATATGATCTGAACAGAAAGAGTCCTTTAGTACACTTTTCTTCTTTACTTCTCATTTGATACACTATTCCACCCCAACTCTCAGGAATTTTAGCTCTAATATTACTTTTAAATTTGTGCAAATACATTTTTTCTTTTATATATCAGTTTTTAGCAATGATATTTATATTTACAGCCACCTTATCAAGTGCTTATTTGCCTTCAGATATATGCTTTACTAGTTTCACCTGTTACTTCTAAATCACATCTTTCTTGGATTCCTGCTCATTACATGTGAAATATATCTACTCAAAATCACATTTTAAGGGGGAGAAGGTGGGCTGTATGAGTGTACTTGTTTGGAATAGCCACTTGGTCTGGACTCCTTGATTTCTCTCCATGGATGTGAGTCAGTGGTAGACCACATGTCAGGTATCTCTCACCCCCACCCCTGAGAGGGCATATGCACTTGCCAGAAAGAGACAGAAATGGAAAGAGAGGGAGGGAAAGTGAGAAAGCACTCCCTGTGGGGCACACACTACAATCCTGTCTCCATTTCTCCATCCTTTCAGGAGTTTGAGCATACATGCACATATCCTGGAATGATTTTCAAGCTGCTAGGTCCAGGACTC